TCAATCTCGGCCCAGGGAACGACACAGACAGCTACAACTACTGTGTAACTAGAGGGCCCACTTCAAGCATTATCATCAAACAATTACCAACGGAATTTAGCAAGATGACGAAATGTAGCACTTCTTCGTACCAATCGACTAACTTCGCTGGTATAGCGGAAATGCCCACTCAATCTTGGCCCAGGGAACGACACAGACAGCTACAACTACTGTGTAACTAGAGGGCCTCTGAAGGGTTCTACGTATCATACTGAAGATTACCAAACTTTAAACAATAACAATGAAACCAGGACTAATTTCCAATGGAATGTTTTTGAGTTTTCTAATTTTTATAGATCTAAAATATGAATTTAGCATAAACAATTACTATACTTAAAATGTGATGAGGACATACCTATTCTGGGCGTTAGCTTCTTGACGTTTGAGTGCATATTCAGCCCATACAGACTGTGAATCACGAAACTCGGTTTCCCAAGTCTGTATATATGAGAAGAGAGTCGGAATAACTTGATCTTCATCGTGGCTCATTCCAGAACGAAAATGGGTAATCCCTACATCAGTTTGTTTTGACCAACGAAGGTCAGATTGAGGAATCAATACGTGGCCCATACTCAGCATACCTAAACCACCCAACTCTTTCGGAGTATAGAAGACAACAGGTGGAAAACGGGCAGGCATTTTGGAGTTAAGACCAATCTTGATACGAGTTTGGATCTTGTTCTCGCACTTGACAAGCAAGTCGAGGAGAGGTACCGTGGAACTAGCAGCTTCTCTGAAGTAGGTCATTAGACCGATGAGAGCTGTGTTCCACTTGTTAACGATCTTTGTGAATGTGGTCGAACCCGAAGCCATCAAAATTTGACGAACACGATTGTGGAATTTCTGCATTGAATCATCGTCAACACGAAGGAAGCATTGAGCTGTGCGTTCCTTTGTCACCTAAAGAAAAACGGCTCTCATTAACTATGCTACTCACAAGACAATAAGTTTATTTATAGATGCTCACCTCGTTCTGTAGATGCCAAACCCCACCGGGTAGATTTGCATCAGATGCTTGAGATGGAGCTCTACAAGCTGGCCGAATTCTGCATTCAAAACCACACATCGCAAAGAGCAAATTAGGATTGTCCTTCGAGTAAACTGATACAAATGAACTCTCCCAGTCAATTGTTGTCACAGATCTAGGCAAACGATTCTTGATATCCCAGAATACGGCTCTGCCCAAGTTGACGTCGTGTTTCATCAAACGCATACGTGAATCACGAGGCCAGCATTTCTTGTTATTGTAACCGACAATGTTTTCGTTATTTGGATCTGGATGTTCAGTGAGATAACGTTGAATGAGGTCTCTAGCTTCTTCTGCAGAGAAACGCAAGAACATCCATAAACGATCAACATATCGAGTGTAAAGACGAATTGGATGTGCAACTTCGGTTGAAATATCCTGGAATTGCAAGAAGTCATTTGGCATCTGAGGTGAACCAGCCATTTCAGACGAGCGCTCCAAACCGATAACTAAGAGATCAAGCACCAAGCCATAGTACTGCATGATAAAGGAGGCGAACTGTAAACCACGAATGACACCGTAGCTATTAATGTGGTTCATGTCTTTGTAGTTAATGACCACGTTATTTTTGGCAGACATGTAATCGGCAATATTGTGGTCAACAATGAGGCGTAACAAACGATTGAGTAGAGTAAGATCTACCTTCTCGTATACCTTCTCAAAACGAGTCTCCAAGAGGACGTTGCATTCACCTTCACTGGTCTCCCAGACGTCCTAGAATAAGTTATATAAGGGTAATCAAACAGTGAAATATCTTTTTAAGATAACCCAACAGAAAACCTAGTGCGGTGTTTAACAATAACGCGATTAAGTTCACTTAAAGTGAACAGCACATTGTGGGCGATAGGCATCCAGTTCAATATTTAGCTTAAATATTAAAGTTGAAGCAAAATATAATCCATCTTAAACCACGATCTACCAATATCCCACTAATTTGAATACAAAATGTTCAATGTTAACTGTTAAAACAAAATACCAAATAGTACAAATACCCCACAGTTAGAGGCTGTTATCATTAACAGACTCAAACCGGGCAAACTGCTACAGCGGAAGAAAATTAACAAAAGGGTGGCCAAATGTCAAAAAAGGATACAGATAAATAAAATTACTTCGAAACTAAACACAATAGCTGTTTAACTTCGTATGCATGCCTTTTGTGAAATCTAGTGGAAATAAGGGCATCTATTGAGGAAAAAATGGTATTCACCAGTGGTAACAAAAACTGATACAATAAACTCGGCCTGCTACCAATGGCAAGTATGAGCAGCATATCATATTAAGAGTATTATACTCAACACATCGCAAATAAGCAAAAATGAAACTCAGAACATTGACACTTACTTTGAGATTATTGATACCCTGACACCATTTGTAAACCAAAAGAGGCGGCGGTTCTGAATCCGCAGGCTTTATCCATGGAGGGAAAAGACGCCGTTTATCCGCCTCATACCAAAGGTACTGATCTAAGTAGGCATCTGTAATCTTCTCCAATGGTTCCACATCATAAACGGGTACAAGATGACTATAGAGATCCATGAATTCAATACCCACTTCCTTGAAAGCACGCTGAGTTAACAAATGACGTTTGATTCTACTCAGAGCTTCGTGTGGATTATCATATGCCTGTTCGATTAGGCCAAGTTCTTCACGTTGAGACTGATTTAAACGATTCTTAACAGAGTATGATTCACGAAGTCGTTCAAGAGCAAGGATAAGCAGCTTAGTGTCATGTTTGTAGCTAACAGGAGGGAATGGAATAGGCGAAAAGCGACGACTTTCAAGCCAGTGAACTGTTGTAGTGTAAATGGCCACAGCCTCTTCAGGAGTAACATAAGGACCATCTTTAAGGTAATTGTGCTGCCTTTCTTGTTCTGCTTTGAGATATAAGCGCGTAAGACGGCCAAGATTCTTCTTGCACACCGTCTTGTCTACAGTAGCACCTCGACGAATACGTTCACGATTGTAATGAGCTGTGTTTGTCCACCAATCCGCTTTAGCCTTGACATATCGGAGAATCATATTCTCAATAGGGATAGGCATATTAGGTACCTTCCATGGGATATTAGCCTTCCAGCAACGCCAAGCTTCACTGAGGTGTTGAAGAATCGTTCTGGCTTTATTCTGCTTGATACCCTCAGGCATCATGTCAATTATATCATGCATAACAGCAGCACGCAACTCAAGGTCATAGTGAGACTCAACCCGCTGTTTGGTAACGGTCTTCGCCACTCCCTTCGAATGACGACCCTCAAACTGACGAGAAAGAAGATTCCCCAGCCACCTTTCTAGGAGAGGGGTTATTCCTCTCAAAAAGAAAAGCCAGACTCTCCAAGCCGGAGCCCACATACCAACACCAGGACCTTTACCTACAGCTCCGGTGTTGAATCGATAGTAAATAAGATGTTTGAGATCCTTGCACATTCGAATCTGTCTCATGAGTTTGTACTTGTAACGATACATACCCGTCAGTTGACCAACATGAGAGAAGATATATTGAAGACCATCAGCGAGCTAGAACAGTAAAAGCAGAAAAAATGGTCAGAAAGTGCGTTATCACAGTTAAACCCTATAAAGAGCTCGTGCTGTTAAGCCATCAAGCAGAAGAGGAAACTGGTAGTTCACATGCCAACTACGTTCCGGACCCCTGCGATATCATCATACCTGATAGGCATCCACATTTCCCAGTCGATATTGCACATGGCTGTCCACAACAAGTTTAGTCAAACGGAGAATTTCACGACAGAGATGGAAAGCGTTACCGAAACGCGACTTCTTTCTTTCCTTTGTAGTCAGTGTCTTGACTGGCTTTAAGTTAAAGTTGTAATCTAAGTGAAGGTAATTGAGATTCTTTCGATGAATTAGAAGGTTCAACATGTTGTAACCTTGTCGGCAAACTTGAAGACCAACCTCGACCCAATCGAGAGTTGTCGATTGGAAAAATTTGGTCGCTTTAAAGGAGCGGAAGAGGTAACGCTTTCTCTGAGGTTTTGGTTTTCTATGATGGAGAGCATTTAGCACGAAGTATTTAAGCAATTTTTGGTATGACACACGAACCTAAAACGAAATAACTGATTACAGGGAAATTTGCTAAAAACCTTAACAGGCATTCCGGAAGGGCAATGTTCCCTGTACCAAGTTTGAACTAGTGGAACATCTAAAGCACGTCTTGTACTACCCGACCGAATATTAAATGGTCTAGGCGTCCATAAAAGACCGATACCATTTGCTGTGTTGTCTGTATAGAGTGGCGTATCAGCCATGAAAGGTTTGTAATATTCAGGAAGAACAAATTCTTCTTGAGTTTCCTCAAAAGTGGGGATGTGAGCTTCAGGGACCTTTTTGGCATGCCGCTGCGAAATTGCATTCACAAGAGGATCAACATAGAAAGCCGGCAAATCTGGATCTTCAGTCTTAATGAACAGGACATTCGGAGTGTGATACCAAGATAGATGAACTTGGAAGGGATAACTATTGTAGAGGTAAGGGAATGCAATTCGATACTCCGTTCGAATCGGCTGACGGATAATTATCTTGTTGATATCATTGAACTCATTCCAATCCTCATCACTATAAGTGAACCAAATTAAAACAAGTCGAACCACTTACTCTAAGTTACGATCCTTTACAAGTGGTTCAAATTTCGGACCACCAGGTAAGGCGACATTAAGGGCCTTTGCAGTGAAAAAGGATTTTAAATCGAAGAGATAAAAGTAGTTATCATCCATAAGGTCAGTCAGAAGGCAATTTGCCAATCTATACAAATTTGACATTATCGGAAGAGGCAAATTCCAACGGCGATAAGTGACTCCATTCACATGCCTAAAGAGAATAAGGTGAATAAATTCTTTCTTCGGTTACATTTTGGAGTTAATTGACGAAAAACCTTCTCTTCTTTCGGCTTCAAAATTATCTAACTACATTATTTGAGGTGGGAAACGTACGGAGTTTCAGCGAGAGGATTGCGATCATAGAACCACTCAGAGATTGCGCCATCTTCATCTGGATCAAGATCCATTTGGATAGGTTCAAGTGGTTCGACATCGAGGATATTGTCTGCATAGTCGAGAGGAGGTTCTTCGTCATCAAAAGGAGGAAAACGCATTCTCCGAAAATGACGACGATCCCGTTTTTCTCGACGCATCATGATCCACATTGAACTCCACTGAGCGATGTAAATCGGCTCAACTACCCAAGGTATTTCATTCACAAATGTGATAGCTCCAGTAATGTGATATAATACCTACAAAAGTCAATGAAAAAGCACAACTAGCCTTGACATCTCTGATCTGTTCCCAGGGCATGGGCATATTCTCAAGTAGTTTCAAAATTGCGTGAGGCATGTATTTTAGAGCGCCGAGATACACACGCTTATCGTGTCTGAATTTCCGGTTTGTCATGTCACCATGGTCTCGGACAATTTTGCGAATGTGCTCAGGAGGCATATCCTCCTTCTGAGCTTCAACAAAACCAAACTTTCTTTTGTCAGCATATTTCTTTGATTGCAGCTGCTGCCACTCTCTAGCTAAATGAGTAATAATACTTCGTTAGACAAAACAAAACTAGCTATTTTAAGATAGCTAAAAGCAAAATTCAAACCTTTATTTGCAGGAAGCATCATGCAGCAACAGCACTATTTCGGCTGAAAATACCCGTTAATGCGCACAAATTACTCAGCATACTTTAGTATAATTGGCTTAGAAGGTTTCAAATTTTACCTAGATTTTTAACACCATACGTTGATATACAGATTTTTAGACTAATAAATGGTTCTTATTTTTACAAGCGGATCGTATTTTTACAAAAATTTATGACTGTGCTGAGTAATCATGCCTGATTAATACATAGATTCAACAATACAATTTAACCCAAATCCAGTTAATATACGACTATTTTGTGATAAATATAGTGAAAATATTGTTACTTTCCGTTGCCAAATGGCATTTTAAATTAACCTTGAATTACTTTAATTTTCAGAATATGGGCTGCTTACACCTACTTGCTACTATTTGATCTATTTAACGTTCAATTAATAAATCCTTTGGAAAGTAAATAGATTGAGTCGGTGTCTTTTAGTTATTATCAGTCAAGTTTCATTAAATTGACAATAATAACGCTACTCTGACGTCAATAATTTGATCTAATGACTGCGATTACCTCATCGTATCTACGTTTATTCAACTGAGTTCCACGTGATATTTTATTAAAAAGAAATATCAAAACGATATTTTGATGGCAATTGCATTGGAAAACTAAAACATATTTATGTTTGGAAAATATGTACATTAAACTTGTCTTTGTATCTCAAATTCTGTTCCGTTAAACTCAAGATATAGCTTCTGACAGTGCGAAAAATACTTGGCAACAATTCATTCGATAGACAATATTTATTCCATTTATTTATTTCCCTTTTACATTCTGTTTAATACACACAATTACCATTACATTTAAGAATATATAAGCTTGTAAAATAGTGTTTTCATGGCTAAAAGTGTTTTATTTAATAGACTTTTCACGTTCCCTTAATTATGTGAACAATTAACAGTATATTTTGAGCAACCTCTGTCAATAATCTCTGCTCTTGTTCATCATTCTTGCGTTTCTTCTCTTGCTTTTATTCAGTATTAGTGTACCAGAATTATTTGATCCTCTTGTTCAGTTCAATAAATGTCTTATTCTTTATCTATAATGTCTTTAGAAAGTTTCTACCTTGTTGTTCCATAACCTTATAATGGTTCTCAAAAACGAAATTCAAATTAAAAATGTTTGCTTCTTCAGTTACTGCGTAAATGTTTTAATTCTGATATAATTCACTTCTAAATTTTAGGCAATTTCAAGGATTTTATTTCACTTCATAGTTTCTATTTCAACTCATTTTCAACTTTATATTTTAACTTCAATTCCCATTCCACTAATTGATAGTTAAAATTAACTGTTCTATATACAAGCAGACTATTTCATTGTTTACAAATGAATTATTTCACAGCTTCATATTTGTGTAGTCAAAATTGTGCACTTCATCAGGTCAATTGATTTACTTTGTATATGTTACATATATGTCAAGAAAATCTCGCATACTTCATGGACATTGAAGGTACACTTATGCCACTAAACCAACTTAGAAGACACGCTTCCTCCGCCGTGTTAAAACCGCAGTTGATCAAATTCAATATTCTAAACAACTAATTCACAAAATTTTGGATAATTTAATGACCAATGGGTTGATATGGGGGTTACTGTGGCACGTAGATTCACCTCCCCCGATATACTTGTTTCACAATCATTCCATTATGTAACTATTTGTATTGAAGTATGAGCACCGATTTTCGGTTTACGGTGACATTATTACCTTAGATATAACTGGCGTTATTAGTATATCATAACTAAACAAATTCTCATTTAGAAATAAAGATTTAGCGAATGAGACTAAATGTGCAAAACATCCGTTATATCTTACATATTTAACACGTATTTATAATTAAAAATAATGCAGGCCTTCAACTATGTAGGAACTTGCAGGATAGCTGGTTTCAGAAAGACAGAAATGTACTTCTGCTTAAGTCTGCAGATATTAGGTTAAGTACCATGTTTAAAATTGCCAATTTTTGCTCCTCCATGGAAACAAATATAAGAAAAGATAATTGGTTACAGGATCTCTTTTTTGAGAGTTAGATAGTTACACAAATAGTGGAAGAAAAGTGGTATTTAAAATAGTCCTCTTTTTGTTAACAATGCACTTCCTGGAAATTCTGACAAAAGTCCTATTCAGCGACATAGCTTGTTATTGGAAGCGTACTTCCGTTCGCTATTGATAGACCATATATGGGTGTGTTTGCGTTCTGATAAGGTGGATGCAAGGTTTTCATGATAAAACTGAACAATGACTAACTCGTCATTCTCCTGTGACTCTTTATCGGTAGATTTTTTTGTTAAATAAATCTAATTAACCTAGATAAGGATATACAACGATGCCTTCCATGAATACTATTACTACTTTTATTTATGAGTAGAACAACATTGTCAAGCAAAAGCATGGAATATGGCTTAATATTTAGAAAAAACGGAAAGGTTTCTTAATTAGTGTAAGTTAATGATGACCTACTAAGAGGGCAGTGGATGAGTTTTCCATTCTTATTGCCACTTTTTCAATAGCCTACCAATCTTAATCGTATAAATATTTTTTAATATCAAACAGAATAGGATTTACTCGTTAATTACTACCTTATTCAAGTGAAGATTATTATCTTAGGCATAAAGAGATGCTAGAAGACAAATAATATTTGACTTTATTCACCCAAATATTAAATGTCCACCTGAAAATAAAACAACGATATTTGCTTCAATAAAGAGAGCTTGCCAAGAACGTTTCCTACTACGGCTTACGCGTACATTGTGCGCACGCCTCCTATTGGTTCACGCTATCTGCGCTCACTAATCAATACCTCGGCGATCGCGTATATTCACACGAATGCGTAAGCCTTCGCAGTTCTGTCTCTGCGTGCACCACCGAAAAGCAATGGCCAAGTCACGACCTGCTTTATTTCCCCCTGCATAAAAGGCCTATTGTGGTTCTAAGTTAATAAAGTCGCTCATGGTTATTAGTAAATGTATAAATTGCAAATCCCAGTAGCATGCTTAGTATTGCAAACCGGAAACTTTCGTAACCGTCCATTTAATCAACCGTTTGATTTCACTAGTCACTGTTAAATTATTTAAAATTCTGGAGGCACGCCCATCAACTAGGTTGTTATTCAAAATATCTCTTGGGAAAACAGGTCCTTTCGTTTTGAGCTTATTCAAATCAAATCAAGATCAAGGCCTTTGGTAAATAGTCCACGAATGGTGTTGTATACAACGGCTGAAATTATTTGGTAAACTTGAACAAATGAATAAAAACTGTTTAGATTCAAAGTGAACTCTCTAAAAAATGAAGTGGCTAATAAAGTCATAACCAAGGCCTGTGCTCTTGAGTACGGTTTGGCATTGAAAACCGCCCCGTGAATGCATTTCAAGTGTGAAAACGCAAAGAATGAAATGGATGTCACCCAATCGATTGGTCCATATGTGAGAAGTGAAGTAGTTTTGATAACTAAGTTAGCTATGGATTTATCCACAAACGGGAACTACGCATTTTATAGAAATGCAGATACCATATGTCGGAGACTACTCATTTTCCCATTCACATGATTACCCATATTCAATGGTTTTTGATACTATGAGTCTACAAACAACACATGCTTTTGAGATGATGGTGAACAGGACTTATGAAATTTCGGTTACTATTATGGTAGCGTACAGGAATAGAGAATGGATAAATTTTAAATTAAGAAATGTTCGTCTTTCGTGGTACCTGAATTCGGTTGAATAATATCGGCTAATGCAAATTTTTAAATAAGGCAATGAATACTGTTATTATTATCAAATGGTGGGCTTTATGATAGTTATCATTAGCTCTTCAGTTGACTACGGGCTTCACCGGGGGGGGGGGGGGGGGGGAGGGGGAACAGAAGAGTGATTCACCTTTGTAAACGCGACAAACAAAAAGGTGAGGTGAGTATTGTGGAAGTAGTCGAATATGACATACAGTGGGGTCACGGTAGTTTGAAGTCAACTGCACCACTTGGAGGTAAGTCTATCGTACACCTCCAGACAATATAGATAACGTTGGTTAACATGCACTTTGGAAACCGATTTTAGAAAACATGCTAATCTAAAGCGTGAGCACGATTATGTCAGAATTTAGGCTACTTTAAAATGGGGAAAGATCAATATTCACTGAAGTAGAATCCAAATCACTCCAGGGAAAAGCCATAATTCAAAGTCATTGATTTAATTCAATTTGAATATTCATAATTTCTAAACACTGAAATGTTTTATATGGCATCTGAGTTAGTTTTAGAATATCTCTCTGATAACCGAAACTATTCTCAATCGACAGGGGCTTATTTTTCACGTCAATTAGAAAATCAAAGAGACTCCAGCTATAACTGACGACCTTCTGGTCATGAATCTTGGTATATCTGGTCACCAGTTGTTCAAAATTTATTAAGGAGCGCGGATTACTGTTAATGCATCTACTCTAGAATTGAGTTTGGTCACTGTTCGCATTCTCTTAACTACGGTCTTTGACAATTTCATTCTGGACAAAGAGAACGGTTCAGCACCCATCCTACTTCAAACGGAGATATTAGATTTGATCAACAGGAGTCAAGAAAATACGCTTTCCCCTTTATCAAAACTTTATAAGCGCAAATAATAAGCCAAATCCATTACCAATAGATCTCTCAAATTCTCTACAAATTTAAGTGACAAACACATGTCTAAGCAACCTGCTCGAATTCCCCATTGTCCTATCAAGCCCAAAATAATAAAAAAAACAGGAATTTTCGTGAAAACAAAAGATATCTATTGATCGGATTTCTCATTTAATTAAAAGGCAATGGTATTAAAGGCGAGCGAGGAAAAAGAGGGAGAAGAGGTGGGCATTTAAACTTTCGAGCGTGAACCACAACAAAGCGACAACAATTTCGAAACATTATCGGGGAGAAGCAGCAGATTGGATTTTTCAATCACCGAACAACTCGAAATATGGGATTAAAGTAAAAGAAGCCAATTAGAAGCATCAATCAACAAAATGTCAATTGAAACAAAGAGAGGAGGGGAAAGAAAACTAAGCCAACACAGAAAAAGCTGGAATAGAGAAGAGTTGATTGAAGGGAGCCAGTAGATTACTTCTGGAAGAGTTGTTGGGTAAAACCAACATAATCGTAGGCGTCTTGGACAAGTTGTCCGGCCTTGGTGTAGTAAGGAGGCATGGTTTGAGAACAATAATCCGCTTGTTCCTTGGAAAGGTTCTACAAAGCAAAAGGCAAATGAGAAGAAACGTCGAACACTACGCGTCCCTACAATTTCTTGCCCAACAACCCAAAATGCCAGATGATTCAAAGAAAGTTCTTTTATCTTATTCACCTACCAACCAAAGGCAATGTGGCCATTATACCCCTAGGGTAAATTTGAGGGTAGAGGTGTGCGATAGACTTACCTCCAAGTGGTGCACCCTGGACAACATATTCATAAGGCGAAAAAGGTCTATAAACCGGCAATTGACTTATAACTACCATGGCCCCACTGTATGCCATATCCGACCACTTTCACAGTACTCACCTTACCTTTTCTATACCCTTGTGTCCCTCTGCCACTTTTACATCTGTGAATCACTCTTCTGTTCCCCCCCCCTCTCCACTTTTTGTGACGTTGATGTTCCTCCCCTCTGCAAGGCCCGAAGTCAGCTAAAGGACTAATGATAACTATCAAAAAGCCTGCCATTGGATATAAATTAGTTTGAGGGTCAAATTATTCAACTTCACGAAACCTATTTGACAAGACAATGTAACATAAGATAGGAAATCGGTAGGGAATTCAAGTGTAAAATAACTATTTACAGCACATGTACTAACGACAAAGATGACCTTTTTACTTGTCGTCACATGTTTAGCATCATATTTGTCAAATAAAAATGATATTTGTGTGAATTTAGTTTCACAAAAAAATGAAGCAAAATATGGCCCAAACCCTAGAATAGGAACTTTGTAGCTGATCCCACTTTTTTCTATTGAGAATGAGGTACTCATGTGTTCTCAAACAACATGCTAAATTACCACTGAGACAGCGACTTAAGTATAATTGATTTCTCCTTATTGTCAAGTTTGTCTCTTTTATCTATCAATTAGTTAGCATAAGGAGAGCCCGAAGCCACCCCCCCCCCTCCCCACCCCAATCGTTCTGCCAACACGCACTTAAAAGTGGCATATAAAATCTCTCCACCAGAAACTTACGGCGTAGAGTTCCTCTTTGGTGATATACTCCTTCGTGCCTTCCTTCGTGAGTGATCGGAAAGCCTCCTCCACTTCATCCCTGGACTGGACATTCTCCGTCTCTCGGGAAATCATGAAGGCCATAAACTCTTGCAGAGTAATGTATCCATCCCTATTTGGATCCACTATGGCCAAGATAGCCTCAAATTCAGGGTCGGGTTGATTCTCCTCCACCAATTGGAGATCATGACCCAGAGCACGAAGGCAGGATTTGAATTCTCGGTGGTCCAATCGACCCGACTTGTCCTTATCAAAGTGTTTGAACATCATGGAGAATTCACGCAGGGCCTCCTCACTTACACCGGAGACATTACGAGCTTGAATTTGTTGCTCCAAGTTGTGTTGCATTCGCATGACAAGTTGATCCAATTGGTCCCAGGCTTGGCTCAAACCAACCTGAAAACAAGTAAAACACGCATACCGGATTTTCAAAGAGAAATGAGAAACAACAACTATCACTTAAATCTTGAAAGTCGTAGTAAACAGCCAACGCACAGAATTTTGGAACCAAAACAACGAAAAGTTTACGCACTAGCTTGAGAGCTGACATTTGACGGCCTGGTTGCTAAAACATTATTCAACTCGTCTTAATAGCGAGCGGAAAGTGGAGTCACAAGAAAATCATTTTCCCACGAAGTAAAGTTCAAGAATTGTCGATACAAAGAAATAAAACTGCGAATTCCAATTTGAAAATGAGTAATATACCCACTCGAAATAGTACGATTATATGCGATGTAAAGAGAATTCACATATGGATAGTGTTATCGCTGTGAAAAAGGAGATGTAGAAATGCTTTTAAACTGCCAAATAGCACGAGCATAAAACCAATCAATAGGCACCTTAAAGGTATAGAGAAAACATGTTTTCGATAGGACAAAGTGCGATTCACAATAGTACCTGTTCTCAAACATGCTCTTTACGACTGGCAAACTATGACAGATAAACTTATACACACACACACAGAGACCCAAACAATTGATCCACCGATTCGTTTTTTTCTTTTAAACTATCACAGGCTTTTCTGTTTACTTAAAATGTTGGTTGATTAAAACTTGTGAACAAGATAGCCAAGACGATTTATCGTATAGCACGAACCGTGGGTGTCTTACATGAATAATGAAGCTATAAAACGCCCTCTAATCACTTATAATTCAAGGATGCACTGCATAAATTCCGTAGTAAGTCACGCATGAAGATTAAACACACACACACACACACTTGGTAATCAGAATAAGCCATTTCAGTGTGGGGATTTTTAGAGTGAAAGGACAACTTAAGAATGTCAACTAAGAGGCTGTTCAATTAGCTGCCAATTAATGTTAAATTTTAATTGCAGGACACTGTCAATCGCATACTTCTTTTGAAAGCAAATGTCACTGTTAAAGAGGCGTCGAAAATACCACACAACCGAGTGGTGATTCATCCAATATAGAACCACCTTTTCTATGAACGAATAAGTACAAATTGTAAGCGTACTACACTTTGAAGATATAGATAATAACAGTGACAGTCATGCCATAAAAAAGCTACTTACTAAGGGTTTACTCGCTTTCAATACGTTGCAATTTAAATATATAAAAAGTTACGCACAGAAATACGAAATCGAAAATAATTTATTACCCAAGAAGAGCCTTTAACTAAGGGCTAACCGCATTGAATAACTTAGAAATTAGAGAAAGCACCACGTCCAACAAATTTTTTTGTTAGGTGCTATTTTTCCGTTGCTGAAGTAGCAAATTCACACGACATTCCTTCCAAAACTCCTCAATTTGAAAGCCCATATACCCATATCCAAGTAAAGTTCGAAAATATGTATATAAAAGGTCCTCATTTAGACATCTTCAACAAAGCTCTCTTAAGTATTTCAAGGAAAGTCCCATTTCAAACCCTAAACAACGATTATAATAACGCTAATCTATCACGACATAGTTAAGAATAGGAGGCCCTATTAATACAATAGCATTTTCTAAACACAAGAAAACAAACAACAAAACCACTATTGATAATAAGTCAAAATGGATCCGTAGATGAAAGCTTCTGAGGGTGATTTACACCACTTAAGTTCCTGTATAGAGTAAAAACTTACGGTGCTGTGTTCCGTGTAGCGATTGTCCAGAATGAGTCTTTCCTCAAGTCGAGCACCAAGTTCTTCAATCTGCTTGAGTTCAACTTTGCGAGAACGGATCTCAACTGACTTGGCTCGAATTGCTTCAAGTTGTTCCTCCAGAGTGCCAGTTCCTTCCATCAAAGAATTACGAACAGACTACGAGAAAAAGGAAATCAGATTAGATTCAGATGTGCACTTTAGTTGATATCTTTTGTTAAAAGATTAACTTAGCATGGCATAAACTTAAAATGAATTCTCAGGCTATTTAAAGAAGCCCATATTCATCAGTTGAAATGGCGACAAGCCAATGCCCATGACAATCTACACTTCCACCATAGTTCTAAGAATGTCCAAAACTGTAAGGTCCCTTGAATGATTTAAGACTAGTTATGGCATTAGGGAGTCTAAGAGAGCCAAACTAAAAACAACTTGGATAATTCGTATCCTTAATGGCGGGAATTTGTGCTGAAGGGCAGTGTTTTTTGAACGACAATTTCCAGCTTTATAGGTCAACAAGCTCGCTCGTGAAAAGAAATCTTAAAACCAGTCTGGTAGGACGTTCAACGGGTATTTATAAAAAGAATAATTTTAATTCCATTAAATTCGACATGGATAACGAGCACCTTTTCAACAATGAACTTAACACACTAAAATACCAAGCATCTGCTGGTCCAACTATGATCATAGAACAAGTTAGCGCATACAAACCTGCAGCCAGGCATGGAAGCTATTAGCAGCCGAAGCAAACTCTTGACGAAGTTGATCATTCTGTTCTTGACGAGCCAACTCACGGCGAAGTTCTTCATCCCGTTCTTGGATGATCTTCTGGAGATTGCGCCAAGTATCCTCCAAGGCAACCATATTGAACCATGTGTAAGGATTCTCTTCAACCTATGGAAAGGTTGGAAATTAACGCACTTAAAAATCTGCAACATGAAGGACCACTTAAGCATGTTATCAAAGTAGTGAAACTTACACCATAGCCCTTAATTTCCTGATCTAGCTGACGCAAGCGCTGGAAGTCCGTTTCAGCAGGTTTGAGAGAAGCCTTGAATTGTTCTTGTGCTTCAACCAGAGCACGAATTTCGTCAAGCGAGTTGCAACGAACAGGGTCTGTGAGATCCTCTTCAGCATTCTCGAACCAAGAATTGAAAGTTGAAGCACGCTTAGCGAAATCAAGGTACAACTCCTCAACCTTTTTGTATTGATTCTGCAATTGAAGAAGCTCATTCTTACGACGTCCAGACTCGTTCTTCAAGCGCTCCCAACGACCAATCAATGTGTCAAATCTTTGCTGAATAGCTTGAGATTGAGCATGATTGGATTGAATGAGTTGATCGTGGAGTTCAGTGATTGTCTTGATGCCTTCAGTACGGAAAGATTCTAGAGCAGTATCGAAGGTTTCATGCTTCGTGAGAAGAGTTTGGACTGAGCTCAAATCGCGCCCATAGTCTTCAGATCGCACCTGAGCTTCACGATCAGCAATCCATAACTCAACAACGTCCGTCTTCCACATGAATTGAAGGAAAGCATGATTATCTAGCAGCATGGCCTTTCTACGCTCAGCATTGCGCATTAAAAGATCCAATTTCTCACGGAGACCCTCACATTTCTGCTCAATAGCGACCTTATTGTGATTTCCACGTTCGATCAGATCCAATCCGGCTTGGCAGATCTCCTCACATTTCTTGCGATGGACTTTAAGATCAGCTTCAAAAGCTTCATGTTGTTTAATTAGACCCTGAACCGCAGCAGAAGTGTCTCCGTGATCGTCAGATGAAAGGAGATGTTGCTTTTCGAGGATCCAGGCGGTCTCCTCTTCAACGGCGTCAAGGAAGTCCTGGTAATCAGAGGATTCGTCCAACTTTCGATCGCGGTTAGCCGTCAGGGTTTGAAGTTCTTCCCAAGCCTGATTCAAATGCTACAAAAGCAGCAAGTTGAAAAATGGTAATTAATTGAGTGATTAGCATTGCAAGTAACTTTAATAGTGGGAAACATGCATAAACCCACGGGAAACTATGTTTAATCTGAAAGTCTACAACCCTAGCTCAACTATTAGTAAATAGCCCCAAATACACATACAAGTTGAGACTAAAATACGAAGTCACGTTAGAACTTTTTTGTATAATTTAAAATTTAAACACAGTTTTGACGGTAAATACCATCCCATTTTGCTCGAGGAAGCGCACTTGATACAATAACCGATTGTTGTTGTGACTGAATCGAAGGCACACAAGAGGATTAGTAAGTAAAATGGGCATCGAAAATCAAATCCCAACCTTGAGCTATTTTTGCCACAAACACCTTAACCGTACTTTTTTTTTGAGCTTCAAAAAACCGACACAACGTTTGAACACAGTAGCACCTGGCTAACTTACATAGAGTACTAAAGCCTTGTGTATGATATTCCAACACTGCACATATGCACACACCTAAACAGATTAGGAAATTAGCAAACAAAACACCAACACATATATCCTAAACTAGAAGTTGGTCAGAAGTATTAAAAAAAGTAAAAGTAAAAGAGATCAAACTCACATCAATACGCTTCTGAATCTCAACAGGGTCAGCCAGCTCAGTGTTAGACATAAGTTCTTGTCCTTGTTGTGTAACTTGGTGTACAGCAGGTTTATGAGCAACAATCTCAGCTTCAAGTCTCTTATGCTTCTTCTTGAGGTTTCTAACGCTAATCAGATCACGACCATAGTCTTCCGAACTCACTAGAATCTTCTTTTCACGAATCCACGCCTCCTCATCATCCAGATTGCGGTAGAAGTCATGGAGACACTTGGCTTTGCCCAATGTAATGGCACGATTCTCTGAAAGAGCTCTTATCTTTTCATAACGCTCGTTGATCCATCTCTTGCGTTCTTTAATTGTATCAGCATCAATAGCTCCTGAAGCATAGAGTTCATCAGCTCTTGCGTTGAGCTCAGAGATACGATCCTCGTGGGCCTGAATATCAGTAGTGAGAACCTGGTGTTTGGAGAGAAGACTATCTACAGAGGCAGAATCTTTCCCATAGTCAGGACTAGCTAATGAAGCTTCAACTTCTCCTAGCCAGAACTCAATATCCTTCACACCAGCATTGTAGGCAGCTTGTCTGTTAGCCTCTTGCAGTTTTGCAGACTTCTCCTCAGATCTGCCGATAAGGTCCTCCCATTGTTCGGCAAGTTTGCCCAATCTCTCTTCAACAGCACTCTCTTGTCCTTTGCATTGTCCTTTATCGATTAGACGCTGACCAGCTCCAAGAATGGCTTGAAGACGTTCAGCATTTGCAGCTAATTCAGCTTGGAAGGCTTGATGCTTCTGATGCTTAGCTTGAACATTGATAGTCGGATCCTTGTAGGAGTCATCCATAGTAGCCTGGAGTTTCTCATTGATCCAGATTTCCATCTCATCAGCATCACGAAGGAAGGCTTGAAGAGTTTGGGCATCTCCCAAACGATTGCGGTTCTCAATCATGGCCTGCTTGAGCTCACCCCATCTACCAAGAACCTCATCACGTTTAGCCTGAATACCAGGAGCATCATAATGACCCTCGGCCATCAGGGCGTTAGCAGAAGCGTCAAGGGCTTTAATCTTAGCCTCCTGGGCTGTAATGGCACGATTAAAGTTCTCGTGCTTCTTAATGAGAGCATCGACCTTGTCAACATCTTCTCCAGAAGTACCAACCAATGAGGACTCACGCATGCTCATCCAATCCTCGGCTTGTTCACAATCACGAAGAAACTGTTGCTGCTTAAGGTTTTGTTCCAAGGATTTTTCCCGATCTTGCCAGGCTCTAAAAAGAAGAGAGAACAATAATTAGATAAAATCTAAAATTCAAGACCAATGGTCTGAGAATAAAACTTACTTGAGAAGATTCTCTCTAGCAGCAAGGATTGCTTCAATACGTTCTTGAATCTCAGGGCTAGCATAGTGCTTGCTATCCAACAGTTCATGCCCAAAAGCGTCAAAATTGGCGAAAGTAGCCGCGCGAGCATCAATTTCAGCACGATGATCCTGATGACGCTCAATCAGGGCTTCGGCACCTGTCACATCATTTGCCAGATCGTTGGAGGTGACCAGCGCGTTCATTGTGTTCATCCAGGATTGGAGATCACTGAAAGACAGTAAGAGCAATCATAGGAATGATCACAAATGGATTCTGATACGAAGTAAATTGAGCTTAACTAACCGTCCATCAGCCAGGAATTTCTGAAGATCAAGAGAATCCAACAATTTAGCTTTACGAGCTTCAGCTTTAGCTGTCAGGTCATTCCAAGCTTGGTTAATTTGTTCTTGGTGTTGACAAATACCTTCAGCTTCTTGAGGATGCGTTTGTGCAAGATCAGCAGCCTTCACATCGAGCTGTTTAACACGATCACCAAGGGCAACGAGATCTCTCTCAAGAGCATCATGCTTGCGGATGAGACGTTGGACTGAAGTGAGATCTTTTCCAACATCATCTGTGTTGAGACGCAAATCTTTTTCATCAATCCATTCTTTGGCTTCATCGCAATCACGATGGTAGCGCTGAACAGCATTGATATCATCCAAATTCTTGACCTTCTTTGTGGTAACCTCCTCGAGTTGTTCGTACTTCTTTTGTAGTTGCATAATGATACCCTCAATCTTCTCAACAGCCTCGGTTTGACCACCTCGTTTGAGTTTATCAGCCTTATCGCGGATATCTTGAACACGAAGTTCACGATCCTTCTGCTCCGCCATAAGATTATCAACTCTCTTACGTTCACATTCAACTTCTTCCAATTTTACAGGAACGATTGTTTCAGTTACAGCAAGGAGTTCCTTCTCAACAACCCACTGGTGAAGATCATTCGCCTCACGGACAAGTTGATATGCTTGAACAGAGCCCTGAAGACGCTCTCTACGGTCGCGACCGAGTTTAAGCAGATTAGCATATTGCTCCTCAAGGCGTTTTTGCTGCAAAGCGACAGTAAGGGGTTGGTCAAGGAGATGAGATTGACTATCAGTTAGTGGAGCATCAATTTTTTTCAAGTAGGCAGCTGGAACAAAGCCCTGACGATCATTGATCTCAACCTTCCACCAATCCTTGCTGGAACTGTTTAGAAGAGAGAGGATTTCACCCTTACGCATGGAGACATCACGTGGGGCTTTTTCTTGATAGTCATAGAGAGCGACAACCAATTCCTTTCCCATGAGGTCTCCTACAGGAACCTCCTGCATTCCACATTCAGAAGCCTGTTTTCCCAAGCTCGCGATAGTGGATCCATAGGCTTCAATATCAGCCATCAGAGCGTCATGTTTCTTGAGAAGAGCTTCAGTAGAATCTTCATCTCTTCCGAGTTCTTTCGAATCAACAAGGGGTTCCTTCTCGTGCATCCAGCTTTCGGCTTCACTAGCATCAGCAAAGTACTGTTGGGCTTGGAGGGAGTCGTCAAGGATTCTGCGCCGATTTTCGGCCTTTTGACGAAGATCTTCCCAAGCGGAGTTGAGACCAGAAATACGCGTTTTAATTTCATCTGCAGCAAAATGACCCTGCTGAGCCATATTCTCACCAGTCTGACAGACGTCCTGGATGCGAGGCTCGTGGCCTGTGATCTCAGCCATTACAGCCTGGTGCTTCTTGATCAAATTCTGGACACCGATCAAATCACGACCTATGAAACAAAATAAGAATGTGACAATAATATAACCGAGTGCACATATCAGAAAAAAACTATTATCTAATAAACGAAATCTCACTAGAGTACGTGAGCTACTGAAAAAAAGCTAAAAGAGTACTGAGTGAAGCGTAGCAGGCCATTTTCAGTTAAAAAACAATCAAAACTACACGAATCTTATTAAATGGCGTAGTTTTCATAAATGATTATTCGAATAACGATTAGAACTAAGGCAGATAGAGCAAGACTTCCAAAATTAGAAAAATGACCCATCCCACTAAGTTGAATCTGAGGCCTTGTAAGCTACTGCGCAAAGTGGTGAAGATACTCAAATATGGACAAATGGTGGATAGTGAGTATTAATTTGCAACGATCATAGAACGTGATGACGGTGTTTTATCAAAGCATAAAACTGATCAACAAAATCGATTAAAGGTATGGATTCATTTACGGTGCAGTTTGTTTGCTAGAGAACACGAATTTGAGCCCATTTGTGTGTGTGTAAGATTGACTAATCAATCCGCGAAAGAGAATTATAACAGTTTTTTTTAAATAAAAAGGGTATTTGAGTTGTCATTTGCATACATTTCTTTACAGAAAGGAATGCTAGCTACTACAAAATCACCTCAAAATTCGGGCACAATAACCAATGGAAAAATTGAAAAACTCTATCCCAGGTTGTACGAATGTATAATCTACCAAGAACCAAACAGAATGAATAGAAATGGAAACTATGAAATCAATTAAAATGCCCTATAGATGTTCAAGGTGTGAATCCCGTCTCAACCTACTTGGACAATTATTAGAGGCCCCAAGAAATCTTTTCTTCAAATGGTAGAACAATTAATAAAACTGTCTATGTGAGCTGATGGAGCAGTAGCCAACGTATCCGTCTAACACACCATATAGGATGGGATCGACTGCTTCATTCAATGGATGAAATGCCGGACCTACATTGGTCGTCCGGCCCATACAGGAGGTGGCAGAATTCGAATGTAACCAAGGCGTCTCAAAGAAACCATTCTGTAACTAAGATGAGTGCTGGAAGACACCTTCTTAAAGAGGATTAGGAATTAGAAGGATATGAATGAATGGTTATCTAAGCTACTGCAAAAGGGCGACCACAAGTCTAGCGTGGCAACCAGTGAAAAGTAGCTGCTAATTTACGATGGTCATAAAAACGCAATGAAAATCTCTTATCAGTGCGTGGAACTGACATCGAAAAAAATCACTGAACCCCGATGTTAATAATTAAAAAAAATGTTATTAAAAATTAATCTGTAATTCTATTAAATACACAAAATGTCCCTAAAGTATCATATATTGATAAAAAAAGTGTCCTCTCAGTCCGCAATCGAATGGATTCGTAAACCAAAGATCCGATTCTAAACTAATAGGAAAAAGATATGAACGTATTTTAGTTTAGTATTTATGCTGAGGGATAATTTTATTCAAACCACTGAAGAATCTACAAAAAACTGCTTTTTTAGAAGTTGGTTGTGAGGCACTGCAAAACAGCTACGTTCTAATATAGAAGTCAGTAAGCAGTAGTTATGATTTAAAGATGTTCTTCAAAGCGCAATGATATGCTTTTGTCATTGCATTGAACGGAACTCGGAAAAAAACTAAAATATCCTAGCTTCCACTTTAGTAACACTTACCAGAGGACTTAAATGAAGACACGCCTAAAGCATAATATGTGGATAGCAAAATGCAAAACCAGATTTTTTCTTTTAGTCAAACTTTACTACTAAAGTCAAGGAGTTAGCACTTACCAACATTATTTGAGGCCGCAACAGGCTCCTTCTCTCGAATCCAGTCTTCCTCATCCTCCACATCTCGATAGAATTGGTGTAGTCTATAGGCATCATCCAGTCTTGCTCTCTTCTTCTTCAGAGGCTCAACCAAGGCATTATAGCGAGTCATAACTTGCTGCTGTTTCTCTTCCAAGATTGGAGCATCATAATGACCCTCCTGCTTGAATGCCTCCACCTGGTCTCTGAAAGCTCCAATACGGTCACGATGCGATTGAACATCCGATTCAAGAAGGTTGTGTTTCTTTTGAATGTTGATGACATTATTCAAGTCTCTTCCATGATCATCTGAGGCCAGTTTAGCTTCAACTTCTGACAACCAGAGTTCTACATCCTCAATATTGCGGACAAATTGTTGCTGATTGTTAGCTTGTTCTAGATTCTTTCCCTTCTTAGACATAGCTTCAAGGAGTTGGACCCAGAGGCTATCAAGTTCACTGATTCTTCCATTGATATCATCGGATTTGTAGTGACCAACATCGACAAGGTCAGTACCCATCTTTTTCACCTCATCCATTCTGGAACGATTGGCATTAATCTCTGATTCGAAGTTGTGGTGTTTCTGCACTTTAGTCTGTAGGTTGGTTGGATCCTTGTAGTTCTCATCAGTGGCAGTTTTGAGCTTCTCCATAATCCAAGCTTTCATTTCGTCAGCATCTCGGTCGAACATTTGATAACGATGAGAATCGACAAGCTGTTGATGACGTAAAGCGGCTTTCTCTTGAAGAGCTGTGCGACGTCTCAGGAGGGATTCCCTACGTTCAGCAACTTCCGGTGAGGCATAGTGATTTCCAGCTATTAATTTATCGGCAAAAGCTTCGAGGTTTTTGATTTTCTCTTCCTGGGCGGTTAGGGACTTCTCAAAATCCTCCTGTTTCCTCATTAAGGCCTCAGCTGCATCTAAAGAGTCCCCAACATCCTTATTTTCAAGGAACGCTTCCTGTTTGGCGATCCAAGCCTCAGCTTGTTCAGCATCACGGAAGAATAGCATAAGGTCCATACATTGCTCAAATTGAACCTTTCTAGACTCCCAGAGCTCAAGAAGAGAATCACGTTCGTGTTGAAGATTGTTCATCTTCTTAACAACATCAGCACTTGTGATATGACCCATATCGACCAAACGCTGGCCCTCTTCCATGCATGCCTTGTAAGCGTCTTCCCTAGAATCAATCTCTCCTTTGTGTTCATTATGACGCTCAACTTGTGCCTCTGCACCCGCAACATCTTTAGCTAATTTATCAGCAGAGATAATAGCTTTGGTATCTGCAATCCAGAGGGTAAGATCTCGCCAATCAGCAAGAAATCGATGGAGAAGGAATGCTTCCTCAAGCTTATTCCTTCTATCAGCAGATTTGGCTTTCAGATCTTGCCAAGCATTTGTAAGAGTAGATCTCTTCTCTTGAATAGTATTACGAGAATCAGGGTGCTTTTCAGATAAAGCATCAGCATCAACACCGAGTTGGGAGACCTTATCCTCGAGAGTAGCTAAATCACGTTCTAGAGCATCATGTTTGCGTTGCAAGGCTTGGACTGAAACTAAATCGCGACCACAATCATCAATCGACAGGGGTATCGACTTTTCGTTAAGCCAAGAGATGGCTTTGTCGGTTTCACGGAAAAAGCGTTGAATTTCATGGGCCTCGTAGAGTTTATTCTGTCTCTTGCTAGCGAGATCTTTTAATCGTTCTAAGGCTTCCCTGACTTCAGTCTTTTTCTCCATAATAAGAGCTTCTTCTGGATATTCTTCCTTGAGTAACTCATCTGCTTTAGCGTAGATTTCAACTGCGCGACCTTCTTGATATTCAAGGTCCTTCATGAACTCGTCATACTTCTTCTGGAGGACTTCAACGTGCTCTAAATCTTGACCGAATTCTTCAGATGTAACTAGGGCTTCTTTTTCACGAATCCAGAATAGAATTTCATCAACTCTACGAAGATAGTTGACGTATTCGAGAGTAAGATTAAGAAGACGGGCCTTCTGCTTGAACATAGCCATAAGTTTGTCCCACAGAGCGTGAAGTTCATCAAGAATGTTTCGAATTAACTCTGAGGCATAGTGGTGCTGGGAGATCATTTCTTCACCACTGGCATCGAGAGCGTTAAGTGTCTCAAAGTGAGCGTTTACTTCTAGTTCAAGTGCCTGGTGCTTTTGTTTCTTGGCTTGAAGATTTGCCAAATCTTTAAAATCTTCATTATTGTAAGTTTCAAGTTTCTCTTGAATCCAACTCTCCAATTCATCAGCGTCACGCTTGAAGTACTGATAGCGCTTTGCATCCTCCAAACGGCGACGACGCTCATCAGTCGCTTCTTTAAAGGCCGCATAACGGTCCAAGACCTGATTTCTTCTATTACGCACATCTTCTGGGGTTTCCAAAATTGCTGGCTCTTTGACGGCAGCAATTTCAGGGTTAACTGGTGAATTGTCAGAAGGAGACTCTGGAGGTATCTCCACTGGTCGCGGTTCTTCTTCCATTTAGCTTTAAAATCAATATTAGCATTTAGCAAATCACATTCAATGTGAACAAAAGTTTCAATTTAAAATGAAATTCATGAAATATGATCGTTATATTTTATAAAACGAAAAATGCAAAAGATAAAAAGCGACTGGCTATGAAAACAATACATATTTAAAACTTATGTGTACTCTTAGTCAGTGAAAATCAGTAAGCGCCAATTTACCAAAAAACAATGTGGCCCTTCAACTGGTAAATATAAACAAATTAGAATATTTTGATTATTATGAAAAGTAATTGAACTAATGTGCTTTAACTGATGTGGGATTATGCGTTTTCGTAAATATTAATTACATTTTATCTTTTGAAGTTTTAATCGATATTGCAATTATCGACTCATTGAAAACACTATGCTTACATAGATTAGCACATGCAGATAGTTAAAGGCCAACATTGGATCTAATATTATACATTTGAAAATAAATCGGATAATTACAGCACCATATCTTTACGACATTTGCATAACAATAGATTCTTGAACAAAAATTGCTGCAAGTCCAAATAAACGTGTGTACAAGTTATTCAATACTTTAACACTAACTAAATTGCATGTAAAATTTAACCTGAATTTCTGCCACAGCAAAGACTTCTTCTGGTGTGAAGATATATAGCCCATTAAAGCTACCAAAATTGAGCGCAAATTTCTAAGCCAATAGAAAAGATACGACGGAAGATTGTCATTTCCAGGTGGTTTGGTATTTTATAAAAAGCGTTTGTGTTCAGAAAGCATAGAAACAGAATCACGGAAAATATTAACACAATAAATAGGGTTCAGATGAAAATGATGGCAATATTGTAATTTAAGCCTCGGAAATCATTCATGTATTATTAATACAGATTATGTTCTTTTATGATTCAAAATCTTTAAATAATCAGATATATCACACCAATCCCACATTTAACTACTTTAGTAACTTATTATAAACCTTGTAAAATGGAATTACAACACCAATATCTATTGATTCAATTTCTCATATAAAGCTATTAACACTCTTTTTAAAATGTGGCTTTCCAAACTCTTTTCACTTTAAAACACTGCGAGAATTCAAATTGACACAGGTTCAACATAACTTTTCAAATCTGATTTTCAAAAAACTATTAAAATATGGCAATTATTATGATTGTTGTAGTTTAAATTGGTGATCATTCTAAAACATAAAAGTAACTTTTGTGTTTGGGAATTGAAAAAACAAGCGGTTCGTAGAGAAGAACTGAGCAATAATTCCAGAAAAGCCTTTCCTTAACCAAAAAGCCTGTTATTATTTGATAAAATGGAATGTTTCAATACTTAAATGAGATCGTTAGTAACTGTAAGGATTATCACATATTTTAAAGATCGAGCTTGGATATTTCGAAAAATTTCATAAATCAAAAAATTAAAAAATAATGTTATTTAAAAAAGAATAGATACATGTAACTCATTAAAAGATTAGAGATTTGCATTAAAATTATATTTTAATGCCTCTGCTAAATAAGAATTATAAATAAACTAGGTAATGCTGTATTTAATCCAATGAACATGAGTGTGTTTGAATAAATAAATTCCATCCATCTTAGAAGGTAATCCCCGTTGTATGGTTAATAAACTCAAGCAATAGTCAAGTAGTAATTCGCTTCGTGGTAGCATCAAATACCAATGTACATTTTGGTGTTTCTATGCATTTCTATGGTTCTTCGTATGCTTAAAATTTTATTAAATTTTTAGACTGAATAAAATTTAAACATTTTCTTGTCTATTTATTATTTAAGAGTGCATATGCATAAATTGCCTTCTTTCGTTTGTTTATGGTTATTTATCTTAATTTTTATGACTTTTCGCTTTTAGATAATGCTAGAAAAGGAAATTTCTGAGAAGTATCCGCTTCACTATCATGTTTGGCGCAATGATTATATAACTCTTGAGGAAGAGTTACTTCAGAAAAAGGTTTGATCCTTTCATGCCGTTTATATTATTTATTCAATTTGTAACTAAATAGTACGATATTGAAGCCCTTGATCCACATGGACGAACACCATTAATGCTGGCTGTTACTTTGGACCACCTCGAATCGACGAGAGTGCTTTTACGCCACAATGCAAATGCCTGTTTTAAGAGAAAGGATTATTGGTCAGGTTAGTCTAGGTTCCTCACATTTTACATTTTCTTACATTTCATTTATTCTTCAACAGATTAACTTAATCATATTTCCTTCGAACCTTTTAATGATCTTGCAAGATTTCTCTTGGTGTTAGCAAATATTCTGCTTGCAATTACATAGTTGTCAATTTTAGTTAATGAACTTTGGCAAGTTTATTGAATTTCGTGTGATAAGTTCTTTTCTTGTTTAATGGTTATGACTATGGTATCGGGTTAATATTATTTCTATATCCATTGGTGTTTACCCTATATCGCTTTTCAAGTGATGCTCCAGATGATTCATATTTTACCTTAGTGTCTCAAATAACTACCAAGGTACTCATAATTATTTAAGTCAAAATATTTTAAATTTCATTTATGTGTTCGAATATGTTCAAAATATTAGGCATGATTGCTCCTCTTGTTTCGGGTTTGCTAAGGCTTAGAATTATCGTTCTTCCTCATTAGGAAATAATTCTAAATTTCTTTTCTTCGATTTTCTACCAAAAACTGACCAAATTGAGTCTTCATTTTTCATTTTATTTTGCATTTCACATTTGGATCGTTTCCCTCTTTTTGGAGTTTGAACGTTTGTAGTAATATCAAATGTCATAGTTTCTTCAAATAAATGTTAATAATCAATTTTGGGCATTTTTAAAATGAATTTCTTGATGGAATCGATTCACAGTCCTTTTTTCTTATCTCTGTTTTTTTTCCCAATATACCTTCACCCTCACCGCATACGCCGTTTTCAATGCATTTCATGAACTACGTGCCACTATTAATTCAACTTTGTAAGTGTTGGTGTTATTGGGTTGCGATGAGAGTTTGAGAGTTTAAGAAACGAGAGTGAATAAATGAGAAACGAGTACATGAGTGGAAATATGGAGGGTTTATTTGAGTCATTTGGACAATTAGAGGAAGGGACTCGAGTTCCTGAGGAGAATAGATGAAGATTGATATTTTCCATCAAACACGTGTCTGGGGGGGGGATTTTGACATTTTCAAGGAGGTATTCTTCAACTTGCTCAATCAGTTCGATGATCGGGCAGTTATTATTTTTGATTTTTTGACACAATTAATGACGACTTTTCCTGTACACAACTTTTGTTGTGATTAGTATGCACCTATTTTCGTCTGAGAAATTAGATTTCTACAAACCTGTAATAAGTAGGATTTTAAGGCATCTCATCATAAGTCACATGCGACCACGAGTTGCGATTAGTTCTATTTCTGGGTGTTTGTGTGACTAAAGCGATAGGGATTGCTGTTCTAATCCATTAAATTTCTTAAACATTTGACGTAATTACCTTTATGTTGGCCCTTTTCTCGTTTTGATAGCGCCAAAGCTCTCTTAGAGAGGCATCTTCCTGTTTACCATTAGTGTAGAAGAATAGCGTTTTGGATGCCTTCTGAAGGAGAAATCACTTTCTACCACCCCTCTTGTTGAATCGACTTAATCTGTGCGTTTGGCAGTCAAACCCCATGGGTTTCCGATCTCACAGATAAGTACATCAACCATTGCATCACTGAGGCACTATACTAGTCTCTTAGATCCAAGCTCAATGTCTACATTCATTGTGGTATTTTGGGGATGTAAAGAACATTGCAAATCAATATTATTAAGAGAATTTAATCAAACTTATTATTGGGCGGTTAAACTGAAAAACCCATTTTATGAAGCCACTTTTTGGAACCAAATAAGCGCCCACGGGCTCCACTTCAGATGGGTGGACTTTCGGAATAGCCCGGTAGAGGACAAAAAACAAAACGAATAGTGGATTTCCTCTATTCCCTTGTTCCTCTTTTCTTTTTCTATTTGAAAGCATTATTTTCTGTCAGAGCATTGTTTAAGAGCCTACACTAGATATCGCTTTTTCAGAGAAAGTATTAATAGTTATTTATTTGAGTGTGCTTTTTTCAAACCAGCACGACTGTAGGATTGTGTGGCAACCCCCTTTCATGGAGTCAAATGTAAGGTTAGTACAAATCAGTTCAAGTCAAATCAACTTAACTGCACCTAGCTGAAAAAAATAGTACATCTCTCTTTGTGTGCATTTGGATCAAGTCAGATGTGGTTACGAGGTCAACTGTTGTGAGTGGCCAACGCGGCACTGGCTAATTTTTTGTATGTGAGGGGGGATGACTGAACCCGATCATCTTGAACATGTCTTCTACCTAAGTCGAGTGGTGGTAACGCGGATTCACTGAATTTTTCTCTTTGTTTATAAGACTGCAGATGATGAAAAAATAACTCAAACCGAATCCTGTCATCTGGGGGGGGGGGCTTTTCTTACTCCGACTCGGGTGATCCAGACGATTTTTCAAATGAATGATAGTACGTCGAATAATTCCATTCTTTTCAATCCTTTCAGTCACCCAGGAGGCTATTAGTACAGGAGATCCGGAGTTGTTGAAGATTGTTCTCACTCATCGCGACTCCCACATGCTTCAAGATCAGGCGAAAATCATCACTCAGTTGTTGGAGAAACTCAAGAATACTCCCGACTTCTACGTGGAAATTAAATGGGAATTCACCAGTTGGTGTAAGTCATATTCTCCACCATTTTCCCACTAGCAATTCATGTTTATTCATATTGAAGTTTGATTTATGATTTTTTGACATCGTTTACTCAACCAATGATGTGGTAAGGACTTCCATATTTGTTGAGAGGATTTAATAGCAAAGTTTTACACATGACTATCTTTTCAATGTTCTTTGTTAACTCCCTCTAAATTTGTTTATATATTTAGAAAATCACGCAATTTTACTCTCAAGCAGATAGAAGGCTCGTGTGAAAATAAGGAGTTAAGAGCTATTTCTTCTACAAATATTCCTCTGAACTCTAATTGCAGGAAATCGAACGTGCACAAAGTGAGGTTTAATTTGATATAGCTAAATGTAATGTTGGCAAATCGCTTTCACAACAGTGTAACTTTTCATTAGGACCACCCGTGGATACGGTATCGCCTAGAAATTAGTTAAACTAATCCTCTTGTTAAAAATCTTTATTTCATCTATTTGTATAAAATTCAGTGTCACAAAATATCACTTCGAATACGCATTAACTGTAGTGAGGCAAAAAAAGACAGAATTCGGAATACCAGTCACGTAACGACTACTGTTGTATCATTGGCTTCTGTTGCTAAAGTGACTTCTTCGCCCTCTAGACTTAAACCCCCCCCCCCTCTCCGGTTTCATCAAAAGAACTGAGGTCAAATTGTACGAGGTGTTGGCTCTCAAGACAATTGATTTACATTCATTTTCATTTCATTAATCTTGCACTTCACAAACGAATTCACCCGCTCTTCTGATTGATGAGAGAGGCTTATACTCGAATTGCTCCTCGAATTTAAAAATATTAGGCACTGCTGTAAATCCGGTCTGTTACGATGGAGAGGGGCTATTTTTTTTATGGCTACTCGAATAAACCAAGGTGAAATGTTTCCAAGAACATAATTTTCCTCACCAGGGATTACAATATTACCTTGGAAAGATTGTTGAAATGCAACTTTTGCAGAAGTTATGAGCTACATATTCTACTGCTCAATGCGTACCATCAATGCGATATTTTGATAAGCGAACTTACTATTATGTATTGTTCTAAGTTCATTCCAGAAAGATACTTATTTGCAGATAGAATTTGGAATTTTTCATTTCGGTGAGGTGAATAGCACTGATCCACAAAGCAGTGGTCTCATTCCTACCACCTAGGTGATGGTGGTTACATCTTTGAATCACTCTTCTGTCCCTCTCTCCACATTTTCTCATTTTGATGTTCCTCCTCCTCTCTCTAAGCCTGAAGTCAACTAAAGGGCTAATGATAACTATCAAGACGCCTACCATTTGATATAAAGATTTAAGGCCAAATCACATCTGCATACTGAAGGCCACATGCAGTATATACAAATTTCTCATTCAGCAGACAGAGTGGAATTCGCTAATTCCTTTCTTTCACGTGCTCATGAATACGATCAACCTATATACACCATAGAATATCGTAATAGTTCTCAATGTTGATCTCCTGCTTTTCATTTCAAGAATGCATAAGTCCGCGTAGAATGATAAAATTTGTGAGATTTTGTGAAATGCAGGCACACATCTATGACATTAGTCACCTTTCTATGTTCTACTAGAAGGAATTCAATTGCTCAGCTTAAAGTGTGCATTTAGTTAAAGGTTGAAATAGGGCTTTCTGCTTTGTTTGAATGACGCTATCAGCTTCCATTTGATGTTTTACCTACCAGGACATTGTAAATGGACGCTATTTGCAGAAGGACCACACATATATGCGGCGGTAATTATTTGAGCTTCTTGTAAGGAAGAGATGGTGGAAGCATGACAAAAACTGCGCAATGATCTGTATTCAATTGACTTGGGCTAATTGACTGAGATTAAATTATAGGGTGGTGAGTAAGTAAGGAATGTTATACCGGTGGTGCATGTAGGTAACTGGAACAGATTTCATACAAATGATTCCATAAATCATTGAGATATATATATATATATATATATCTACATGGCTTCCATTCGGTCTCTACTTGGCTACAACTCTCCAATTTTGCGTTAGTTTCGGAAGGAGAGGAGGGGGTGATTGTTTCAAATTTCTTCTAATATTTCATCCTTCTAAGTTAAGTTTATTTGATTCAAGGTTGCCTTCATTCTTGGCCTAAAGCAAGGAGGAATATGTCCATTTTATCGATTATTTATAATCAACTGTCTGTTCTTGGAGGCTATTCGCATTTTTATTGGATCCCTAATATTTGCATGCAAATGCAGACCATTGCACTATAAAAACGCTGATTTCTCTCTGAATTCAACTCAGGACAACAAATTCCATATTTCTAGCCAAAACTCCAAAGATCGCATTTGAGGGGCGTGGTAAATGCTAAGTGAACTGGATATTTGCAAAAACGTGTTAACTCTGCATGTGCTTTCAATTGAAATTAATAAGTCGACCGATTGAATATAAATGTGGGTTATTTGGGCAGGAATATTTATTTATTTCAAATGGCAGGCGTTATGATAGGTATCATTAACCCTTTAGTTGACTTCAGGCTTCACAGAAAGGAAGATAAACAGTAAAGTGGCAAAACGTCGAGAGGGGGACAGAATAATGATTCACAGACGTAAAAGAGACAGACAGACACAAAGGTAGAAAAAGGTGAGGTGAGTACTGTGAAAGTTGTGGAATACGACATACAGTGGGGTGATGATAGTTTGAAGTCAGAAGTCAACTGCCGGTTTATAGACTTTTTTGCCGTATGAGTATACGTTGCCCAGGGTGCACCACGTGGAGGTAA